GTTAAGAAGGAAGCTCTGGCTGATTTGTTTCCAGCTTATCAACCTGACATTCCATTTCCAGGAAGATTTAAAGAGCAGCTAGTCAAGAAGTATGCAACTCTTTATGCTATTTGTTTCCAGCTTATCAACCTGACATTCCATTTCCAGGAAGATTCAAAGAGCAGCTAGTCAAGAAGTATGCAACTCTTTATGCTGCTCAAATGGAAATGAGAGGTCTTGATGATGAAGAAGGTCTAAAAGAGGCACTAGCTAAGGTTGGTGGATAAAAGGTTGAAGAGCTGAACATCAAGAAGGTTGGAGATCCTGGTTGCTTTAGAATCCATGAGAGCTCAAAGGCAAGACTTTCAAGAGCTGTTTGTGTGATTTGGGTGCAAGCATCAATCTATTGCCATCCTCTGCAGCCAAGGAGTTGGGTTACACCAAGTTCCAGCAAAGCAATGTGTCTCTAACCATTGTTGATGGGACAGTGAAGATGCCATTGAGAACCCTCAAGGATGTGCCTATGATGATTAAGAGAGTGACTATTCCAACTGATTTCTTGGTGTTGGATGTTGAAGGGCAGATCAGAAATGCAATCATACTTGGAAGACCCTTCTTGGCTTCAGCAGGCGGCATCTTTGATGCTAGAGAATGCACTACAGAGCTGAGACTCACCAAGGAGAAGATCTTGAAGTTTGATAGCAAAGGAAACAAGTTGGAGCATTAACATGCTTTCACCATGGCGCTAAACAAGGTGAAAGGAGTTGATAACAACTAGCCATAGTTCGAAGGGTACCAAGGAGAGGGCTTTGATGGCTGGTGTTTGTCAAGGTGGAATGAAGACACCACTTAAAATAAGGTCCATGAAGTGGTTAGTTCCAAGAAGTTGAATCAAATCAAGATGGTTACTGAAGAAGGAGGGGTGATCTTGAAACCCTTTTGCTCTAAGGATGGTGAATTCTGTTACAGGCCGAAGCAAGGACGCAAGTCTAAACCCTTTGCTGAGATGAGTATTGATGGGGTCACCACCAGGATCAAGTGGAGCAAGACACTACCAAGGAGTTCCAAGACTCCTTCTTCTTCCCTCCACTACAGAGGTAATCCAAGTCAAGCTATGTGACTTTAAACAAGCGCACTTGGGAGGTAGTTGTGGCATCCCTATCCCGGCTTGGGATAGTGGGCCTGTTTGTATTGAGGAAAAAAGGTCGAGAAACAAGTCCGAAGGACTTAGTCGGATCAGATGATTCAGAATCGTCAAGCTCGCAAAAATAGTTGAGCTGGATAAGCTGAAGTAACTGACTACTAGCTGGACCAGCTCACTAATAGCTGAACAAGCTTACTACTAGCTGACCGGCAGCTCAACCTAGCTCAGTCAGCTGATCGAGTACTGACCCAGCTGGGCGGACTGACCAGCTAGATACCGAGCTAAGGTTTGACTGAAGTAGTGGTAAGTCAGTTGGGCAGGTGGAGCTCGGCCAAAAGTGGTTATGGCCAAATAACTGCCCATGATCCAAAGGATGCAATCCTGGCCATTGAAAGAATCAATGGCTGAGATTGGGGTATGAAGGGTTGACGGTGTTTGGACAAGAAACCCGCCCATTGTCTTTATAAGGATGGATTTTCGTGGAAAATCCATCATCTCTCACGCCTAAGGCGATTTATCTTCAAGATAGCCGAGAGAAAATGTGATACCCGGATTCCAGTCCAGTCGGCGCCGGAGTGCTCCGACCATATCCGAGAGAAGTTCGGTATTGTCCGGGAGAAAGGGGATTTATCCGAGAGAAAATGGGGATCATTCGAGGGAATCAGAGATGGTCCAGAAGAAATAGAGAATGTCCGAGAGATGATCGGGATAAAAGGGAATCGCCGAGTGAAGAACAGGATAAGGGAATTTATCCGGGAGAGAATCGGAGATCAACCAGGAGACACGGAGATGATCCGAAAGATGATTGAGATAAATGAGAATCGCCGAGTGAAGAACTGGATAAGGGATTTTATCCGGGAGAGAATCAGAGATGGTTCGGGAGAAACAGGAATGTCCGCATTCCTGTCAGGTCACCGCCGGAGTAACTCGGACCATATCCGAGAGAAGTCCAGTGCCATCCGAGTGAAAAGGGATATACCCGCGAGAAGGTGAAGATCATCCGAGAAAGGCAAACTTAGCCGAGAGAATGGCAAGTTATCCGAGGGATAAAGAAGAATGGTCGGATGTCTCCCGAGGGTAGTCGGATGATGCAAAGGATCGATGGGTCAATCCGTGACTTCATCCGAGAGAAGCTGTCATTCCGTTACCATATCCGAGAGAAAGTGGTGATATCCGACAAGGAAGAAGAATAGCCCGGCAGTATCCCGATGATAGTCGGATGTCTCGCAAGTATAGTGCTGTGATGGGAATGATCGGTGGATCGGTTTGCGACTATATCCGAGAGAAACGGTCAAGGCGTGATTACATCCGAGAGAAACTCCGAGCGATGGATGTTCGCCCGAGAGAAAGGAGGGATATCCGGAAGAGGAGAAGATTACCCGACATTCTCGCGGTGATAGTTGGATGACGCGTAGGATCGTCGGAACGGTTCGTGACTATCACCGGGAGAAACGGATATATGCTGACCATATCCGAGAGAAACTCCAGGCGATGGATGTTCGTCTGAGTGAAAGGAGAGATATTTGGAAGCGTAGAAGATTACCCGGCAGTCTCGCGGTGATAGTCGAAAGACACGAGAGATCCGAGGATCGGATACTAACTATAACCGAGAGATGACGGTTATACCGAGAGGATTGCCGAGAAGAATCATACCGCGCCGAGAGAACGGCAGAAGGGAAAGGTTTCATCGAGAGATTATCCAGGATAATCGGATTGCCGAGGGATCCTTACCGAGGGTCGTGAGATCTCTCAAGGACGGTCGGATGAAACGGACTACGATCGAGAGATAGCCGAATGTACCCGACTATGATCGGGTGAAGCGTGGCTATTACCGAGAGAAGCAGGATTATATTCGAGAGAACGTGTCTAGGACAGTGAGAAATCATGAGTATGCACGTGGAGAGGATTCCAGCCGAACATCGGTGGAATCGGGGAGCCGTATCGGAGGATTGACCACGGCCACGTGATACTGGTCAAGTATCCCGGAAATGGTCACGACCGTTAGCGAATGGTCGTGACGGTAGGATGAATGGTCGGATGAAATGATCCGGATTGGATCATTTCTCACGATTCCAGTCAGGCGTTAGCTAGGAACTCTGACTTTGGTCGAGAGAAACATGACTATGATCGGGAGAGATCATGAAGTCAAAAGGAGAACAAGAGTACGGTTAGACTAGATCATAAAGGGAAGGACATGGACGAACGGGCGATCCTAAGGGACGACCCTAGTCGAGCCATGGGGCTGAATAGCCTCTCTGATCTAACCTAGTCATGTGGGGATGGTTGGTTGAATGACTAAGGAAGGATCAGAGATGGTGTATAAGCTAAGGGAGCTGATTGTACAACCATGAGCACAATCAGCTGAGTCCAGGTGAGCACAGCTGACTGGAGTGACAAAGGAGCTAGTCAAGCTGCAGCTACACCTCGTGGATATGGCTAAGGTATGGATTAGATAAGAATGTAGCTAGATTGAAATAGTTAGGGTATCGACTAGACTAAGACTTGAGCTGGATGGCTAGGATGTTGACTAGTCTGTTGCTGGAATATTACTACCTGGATAGTCACTAGCCTAGTTCTAAGTAGAATGGTCTAGGGGAATGGAACGGTTGTTTCATAAGATGCTTAGCTTGTTCGAGTCCAGGATTGATCTCCGAGCTGAACGGTGGTCAAGTGGACTACCGAAAACAAGAGATCATCAGACCGGCAAGTGCTTGGTTAAGCTAAAACCAATGAAAAGTATAGTTTTAAATACTTAGAGATTTCTGCTGCATAAGATAGTCTAGCAATCAAACCTCATAGAGGAGATTTGCTAGGAAAAGACTTTAAAAGGGAGGTTCAGCCGGAGAATGCGGCTTGAACATGGAACAGTCGTACTGCAGCCGAGGAAGGCCAGGTCGGGGTGTTACAAGTTGGTAACAGAGCATGCTTGATCCTAGGGAAGGATAGCTGCTCAGCGACAAAAGAGCTCGATCATTGTAGTAGTATGTCATGGTCCAAAGTTGAGATATTGAGTCAAGTACTTGGGAGTCTAGTGTTCTCGCCACGGCTTGTTCAGTGATCAAGACACTTCTCGGAGGTCATAGCTACTATAGATGAAAGGTTGGAGTCAGAGGAAAATCAGGAAGAGGATCGAACAAGTTTCTACTTGCCACTGAAAAATTCTGGAACAAATTCTTTAAGTGGGGGAGAACTTGTAACGATCCTAACCGGCGTCATATCACTACAAAAAAGGTGCAGATTGTATCGTTTATTTTTAATATTTGCATTACTTATAAATGATACAAATGAATTTTCCATCACTTAAAAAAATGACTCTGAATGTGGTGATGCAAATAATTGACATCAGTTAGTTATTAAGTGATACAAATATTTATATTATTTGCATCGATTGTTATAATCGATGTCAACATGTGTCATTTATTAAAAACTGATGTTATTGTTTACATCAATTGTTATAAACGATGTTAAACTTTGTGTCAATTTTCTAAATAATTTAATAGTTGTATCATTTACAATAATTGATTTTAATAATAGTATCATTTATAATAATCGATTTTAATTGTTGTATCATTTACAATAACCGATTTTAATTGTTGCATCATTTACTATAACCGATTTTAATAATTATATCATTTATAGTAAATAATTTGACATTTGCATCACTTAAAATATCCGATTTATTAAAAATTAATGTTATATACATCAATTAGCATAAATGATATTAGTACTTATGACACTTATAATAATTGATGTTATAATTTGTGTCAATTTTTATAAATGATTTTAATAATTATATCATTTACATTAAACGATTTTAATAGTTATATCATTTACAGTATTTGATTGAAATTATTACTATCAATTGTAAGTAATTGATGTCAAATTTATTTATTTTTTGTAAAAAGAAATATAAATGAAATATTTAATTTAATACTAAAAAACAAATTCAAATTACTAATTAATGTATTAAAAGCAAATTAAAATCCATATTTCCTAAAAAGTTTTGCAAGTGAATAAAATATAAATAAACCAAAGTAACTAAATTGTTTTACTAAATTAATATTGATCAGATGGCACTGGATATCAATCGGCACCATCACCCATTTCCTGGAAAAAAAGTTATATAACTTATTAGTATATCATCTAAAGATTTTGTGTACGTACGTCTATGTAAATACCATTTACCTGAGGATTTGGCAAATTTGGCATGTTTGCAAATGTTGGATTTGGTATGTTCCCAAAAGCTACTGTAAAACTTGAAGCCTATGCAGTTGCCTGAATATATAGTTTAGTGTATTAGTTTTATATATTTAAATTATAATAATAAAATTTAAGTTCTAAATTATTACCTGTTCACCGTTTGAAGTACCAAGTATTTGTTGGATGAAAGTACTCATTGCCTTTACTTGATCTCTAAATCCTTTCACTTCTTCCTGCAGCTGAACAACCACTTCAGAATTTTCTATCTCTGCTCTAGTTGCAGCTGATCGTCTTGCTAATGTTGAAGGTGTAGGTCCACGACCAATGCAACGTATTCGTCCTGGACGCTCTGGACCAAACACTTGAGCATACTCATCATCTAATCTAGCTGGAACATTGTTTATGACTTGCGAATTTTGACTCAATAGCTTCGTAAGTTCTTCCTAAAAAAAAAGCAATCAAAACATAAATATCAAACTCATTCCCTGACCATCTCTTCAAGTAACTGATTGTCAATTATCTATTAACAAGTAAAGCTACCAGAAACACATCTCAAACTTGTTTATTCAAAGTTCACAACCAAAACTCATACTTTTCTTTACTAGTATATTTGTTGGGGAACAAACAATGTAACTAGTATTATACAATCAATAGTGATTTCAAATAGTACTTACCGCACATGTTTTTGCCTTCTCACATATGAAGCTTCCATCAGGTTTTGTGCGAGACTCAATGAAAAACTCTGCTCGAGATGGTATTTTTCCTGTCTTGATTTTCTTTTTTAAAGGTACATGCATAAAGAATATACAATATCAGTATAATAAACTAGCTCATATCACAATTAAGTTACTCACAATCTCATTTCTTCTCCTGCCAAAGCTCTTTCTTCTACATAAGTGAGGCATGCTATTCTTTTTCTGGTTCTCTGTGTTCCTCTCTTGCATTTTCTGAAAGCTCATATATTAAAAAAAAATTACTTGCATTTGATATAGAGACATCAAACTAAATATTAAATCGCAAAGAATGAACTATACCTTCCATTTCTCAGTGAACCTCATCTCCACGAAATGACACCATTGATTATTAGGAACACCCTCAGGTCGATTCTGCATTGTTTCTCTTAGAGTATCTCGTTTGTGTCCATCCCAAAGATATTTTTTGACATCCTTGCATCTGCTACCAAGTGCGCTTATTACACATTTTCTTCTCATCATCGGATCATCAAACCAGAATTTGGACTAAAATGACAGAACATAAAATGAGTCATCAAACCAAAATATTATCTTATAAATATGAAAAGAGGCTAGACGTTACCTGAATTACATTCCATGCTTTGTTTTTTGTGTGAGTAGTCACTAACCTCCACTCCTTGTAGTTAATGGGTAGCAAATTGACATCACTGCTTAATTGGCCTAACCATGATCCAAGTAAACCTCCAGAATCTCCAATTGGCTGACCGCTATCTTCGTCAAAATGCACTATCACTTTGCTGTTTTGCAATTTCCAGACCTCTTGAGATGTCATTAGTTTGCCTTCTATGTTTCCATCAGTATCTTGTTGATGAACATGTAAAATATTAGAATATAGTTGAATTAGTATATATACACATTTATTTAACCACTTTTCAGAATACAAAACTCTATGTATATTACAGTTTAAAATCTGTGAAAACATGTTGTAAAATGGATTCGCCAAATAAAGTAAGAATCGAATTCAAAGAAAGCTCTTGAAATTGTTATTTATATTACCTATGATTTGTATTTTCCATTTGAAGCTTTTACATTGAGGAGCAAGTGGAGGAGGCATATTGCAATCTGAATCCAATTGTGGTAAATCATATGGTGGTTGTGTCTCGGAATCCATGAAATTCATGATCCTAACATGGTAAAAAAAAAGAATATCTGCTTATATAGACCATCTATGAAAGCAAATGTATACGCAAAAAAGAGATACAAATTAAGTTATTACTACAGTTCAATCTCTCATAATACACGCAAACTTTAACTTTGAGATTCAGCCAAATGTTAAAGGATATAAATTGACTTTGAGATTCAGGCAAACTTTAAGATACAAAGTGATCATTTAACAGGTAGCGTACAAATTGAATTCTTAGTAAAAGCAATCTGTAAATTTCAGAGATTCACAAAACAAACACAAATTTTAAATACAAAATCACCAACGCTTGAATCAATAAGTAATAAAGAACTTAATAGTAACCAACAACAATCATTCCGTAATTATTGACTGATTCTATTCACTTATTTATTTAATTAAAACCCAGAACAAAAGGATATTGATAAATTTTGAGAGTTTTGTTATCTTACTTGGTAGGCGATTGATGAATGCTGATTATGATCTGATTACTCTCTTAGGCTGTTTGTCCAAAACAGAATAGTTTAGAAACCCTAAATCCAATAATTAAATAGTGGTCAATATATATATGAAAATATTTGTCTCTAGACCAAAAATAAATTCCCGCTTGGGGAAAAAAAATAGCGGGATCTTAAAAAGATTTTATCACCAAATATTGGGTTTTTAAAGAGGTTTTATAATTTGTATGAAAAAATTACAAAGCAAAAACTAACAATTAATCAAATTAAAACAGAAATCATTTACCAATCAATTGCCCATTCAGCTCGGAATATTGGGAGAAGCTTACGTTGCCAAATCTCTACTTCTCAGATCTCTCTTTCTCAGTTCTCTCCTTTCCTCCATCGATCTTACAATCTGTAACCACATATAGATCCTTCTAACAACACCACCGAGCTTGCGTCTGAAATGCTTCAAATTTGGTTCTCCCCCAACATTCAATAGCGAGAGATGAACATCTCCGCCCCTCCAGCTTCTCGATCTCTCTACATACTTTAGATTATTATCTCGTCAACTAATTAAATTTCAAGATATACATAAAAATAATTTAAATTGTGCTGGCTGACCCAACAAGCAATAAGGCCTTGTTTATATTGTTCAAATTAATTAAGCTCTACTTCAAAAACACAATTACGATATTGTTCAAGTTAATTGACGATCAACAACGAGAACATTCAGTCATGAGACATAAACAGATCAAAGACCAAACTGAATCTGCAGGTTGATTTTGTTGGCTAAACAAAATAAATTTCTGTTGATTTGGTGAGTCTAGAGTTAGCCTTATAATAAATTTCACTTAAGAGAGTCTTTGAAATCAAAGACATTAGTCAAAACACAACGATAACAGATTCAATGAGCATGTAAATCTCTGTTTTCACAACTAGTGAAAGACATTACAGACGAAAGAGAAGTGAAAAAGAAAAAAAACTTGATCCATCTTGGTATCATATCAGAAACCAAATGGACCTGATATCTTGGATTAAAAACATATTTGCCTGTACGACTCTCTGTTATAGTGACCATATTTCTGGAACTCTCACTCACTGTTATAAAACTCAGCAATATTAGCAAACAAATAAACAAAAAAAACTGCGATACATAAGCTTCAATGAGAGAAACACATACCCAATGGACAAACTTGACGAGTCTTTAACCATAAGCTTCGATGAGAGAAACACATACCCAAAGTTATAGGCGTGATTGCAAACACCTGCAAGTAACCAGCATCAGGTGTCTTTAGATGAGGATGGCAATAAAACTATGAATTTCAACTTTGTGTTGTCCAGAAGTATATTATACAACAAATAAGGATTTGAGAAGGGGTCCTAGCAACCTTTCTAGCTAATATGATTCATTCTTATATTGAAACTTTTAACATCGAGCAATTGAGAATACAGAGAGACGTCATTGAGCATGCGAACTATAACTACAATTTGCTTTCTCATACAAAGTCTTTAAAATTCAATAAATCTAATCAAACTGCACAGCACATCGACCAAATTAGACTGCTGCATTCGCATAAAGCATAAACATACGTAGTGCCACCAAATAAGAAAATTCCAATGTCAAGCTATAACAAACGAGATGAGATGCTAAAATTGCTTCACAGAACACTACTTATTTCGTGTTTCTAGATACACAGCTACAATAATCAAAGGCCACGATCCTGTTATTACCCAATCACCGATTTAGCCTATTATTACAACAAGAAAAATTTCAAACATTTAAGGATTAAGAAACTCACTTCGAGAGTCTCATACAACCTCTTGGCCTGTCACAAAGATTCACGATCAACATCACCCATATCATATACGTCTCTAGGCTGAAAATGAACTGCGATATTCTAATCTACCTCACAAGGATCTTTTATATAATATACCATTCTTGCCTCAGATGCCAATATGTACGGCTCATCTTCCACATTATCTCCGGTGGATAACAATCGTGAAAAATTTACCATATGATGACCATATGCATCCATTTTGTATCCTCGTTCCGTACGAGTGTCAGCCCAATTACACTTGAATAATACAACTTTGAAAACCTCATAATAATTCAACTCCATTACCTCAAGCAGATTTCCATAGTAAGCTACAGTTCCTGTTCTTGTATTAGAATCACGAGAACTAGCATAACTCATAGTCTCAGCAGCTACATAAACACCACTATTTTGAGTCTTCAGGTCGGACTCTCTTTCCATTGTTCGGAATTTGAAACCATTGATATTGTAAGCTGTATACTTGACAACCTTTTCAGATGGACCCAAAGCTAAGCATTGCAAATCATCAGTTATTCCATCTAACTCATTTGTCTCTACTTTCTGTTTGATCCAGTTTGAAAAATTCAGATGAATTTCTCGGTCAATGTCGATAGCACGATTTCTCTTGCTTTGATGAGATGGTTTTCTCCACAGCTCATTTTTATACATCCTAAACATAAAACAGTTAACAGAACTTATATATTAGATAACTTCAATCAAACATAGTTAAAATGAGTTGTTTTTGAATAAGAGAAACTTACTCCCGTAACTGATCAAGTAGTTGACAATTGATCAATACATGTTGATGCGCTTGCTGCCTCTCTACATGGTTAAGAGTGTAAACCTGACCTGCTCCAATAAATCTTCCAAGGTTTGGAAAAATAAGTGGAAGTTCTGAATTTGGTCTTATACTAGTTTGAGCTACAGGTCGATCATCAACACGGCCAATCCGAGTAAATCGTGTCTCTATATCATTGAGATACATTGAGCAAAAAGTTACACACTCATCAGCTAAATATTGCTCACATATAGAACCTTCAGGCTTAGCACGATTTCGAACATTCGATTTGAAGTGTCCTAGAGTCCTGTACATAATTGAATTAAGTAATTTTACAGTTATGTGTGTATATATATATATAATCATAGAATGAAAACAAATCACCTCTCAATCGGATACATCCAACGAAATGGAACTGGCCCACCAAATTTTGCCTCTTCTGTGAGATGTACTATTAGATGTACCATCACAGTGAAAAATGATGGAGGAAAAAACATCTCCATACGATATAAAGTTACTACAATACGGTCTTGTAACTTATCAAGCTCATCGATATCAAGGACTCTTGCTGATATATCTCTAAAAAATTGACAAAGCTCCACAATGGCTGAAGGCACATCTGTTGGCAGCAGATTTCGAATCGCAACTGAAAATAAATCTCTCATTATCACATGACAGTCATGACTTTTTAATCCTAATACTTTGCGCCTATTAACATCAACACAACTTGATAAGTTAGAAGCATAACCATCAGGGAGTTTTACATTCTTCAAGACACTTAAAAAAGTGTCTTTCCCATCACTGTTCCGAGTAAAACATGCTGCTGGATACTTCTCATTATCATCAGGCCATAAGTCGGAGCGTATACCTAGCTTACGGAGATCTTTTCTAGCACTCAGATTATCTTTCGATTTTTCTTTGTCATCTAATAATGTGTAGACTAGATTGTCAAACACATTCTTCTCTATGTGCATGACATCCAGATTATGCCGCAACATAATAAATTCCCAGTAAGGCAACTCAAAAAATATACTTTTCTTCTTCCATTGCTGAGTACTAGATCTGCCAGCATTACTTTGATCTCTTTTTCTTCTAACTCCAACTGAACCATGCTTCTTACCAAAAGTAACATTAATTTTTTCAAGTTGATGAATAATTGTAGAACCTGACAATGTGACTGGAGGAGATCTGGTTTCTATATTTCCATCAAAATTGGTTTTATTTTGACGGAAATCATGATCTTGAGGAAGAAAACGACGATGACCAATGAAACAATTTTTTTCCCATGGCATAAACGTTGTCCAATGCCATCAAAATTGCAGCTTGGGCAAGCTGATGCTGTATACGTATTCCAACCTGACAAATTTCCAAGCCCAGAAAAATCACTAACTGTCCACATTATAGCTGCTCGCATGTCAAATGTTTCTTTTATGGAAGCATCTAGCGTTTTAATCCCATCAGACCATAAGTCTTTCAACTCTTTCATAAGTGGCTGCAAGTAGACATCAATATCATTACCAGGCATTTGCTTTCCAGGGATTACCATAGAGAGGATCAGTGATGTCTGCGTCATTGACATCCACGGTGGAAAATTATAAGGAAACAATATCACTGGACATATGCTATAACTATTACTCATTGTACCAAATGGGTTAAAACCGTCAGTCGCCAAGCCTAATATGACATTCCTTGGTTCAGATGCAAATTCTGGATATTTTTTTTATCAAATTCCTTCCAAGCCACTCCGTCTCTTGGATGCCGAAGCTTACGATCATTGTTAATAGCAGTTGCATGCCAACTCATATGGGAAGCAGTTTTTGATGACATGAATAAACGTTGTAAACGCGGCTTCAGAGGAAAATAACGCAAAACCTTTGCAGGAGCTCTCTTTTTTCTATTCTCTGATCCAGATAATGTACTCTTTGCTTCCTTCCAACGAGAGGTTTCACAAACTTTGCAAATTTCCCTTCCTGCATCTTCCTTCCAATATAACATGCAATCATTTGGACATGCATGAATTGACTCATAATTCAATCCCAATTTGCGAATCATCTTTTTCATGTCATTGAATGAATCTGGCAACTTGGCATCAGTAAATGCTTCTTTTAGCAAATCAAGCACCATGGATATCCCTTTGTCACTAATTCCACACATACATTTGATATGGTACAACTTCAACATGAATGACAACTTCGTGAATTTGGTGCATCCTGTATATAGCTCTTGAGAAAAATCAGCAAGCAACTCATCAAAATCCTCTCCTTTTCCACAATTTCCACTTGAAGTTGATGGTCTATCAATGTCCATAGGTTGCTCACAAGTTCCAGATCCACTTCCACTATACACATTCGTATTAATATCAGGAAAAAGATCATCTAATAGATTCAAAGTTGAATCCAATTCAACTTGAGCAATATCAGAAGATTCTCTTGCATTCCCAGTGACACAAATACTCTCTCCGTGTAGTATCCAACTTGTGTAAGAACTTAAAAAGCCAAAGCACATCAAATCCTCTTCAATATCTTCTCTTGATTTAGATTTGGTTAGAGCACAACGGTGATATGGATATTTCATCATGGGTGCATTTGATTTGCCAAATGCAAAATTTAAGAAACTTTTTACCCTTGAAATGTAATCTTGAGATAAACGTGCTTTGTCTATCCATGACTTATCCATCATCAAAATCTGAAAATTTGATTTGCACAATCTGAAAACTTCAGAAAATCGCAAAAGTACATAAAATTCAACACTAATAAAAGTTCAATTCAAAAAAAAATAGCAGAAACGCAAAAGGACATTTTTTTGGCCAAACATTCATCAATTTATACATGATACATGTTCAATTGTTCGTGTCTACGTGAACACAGTGACGTTACAACCACCTAGTTATTTCGTTGCATTGCGATGAATAACAAAAGAGAAGAGACATCCGAGATATAACAAAACTCAAATCAAGTAATTATTCAAAAGAGAAGATAGGCACTCAAAATAGAAGACACTTCCGAGATAGAACAAAACTCAAACTTAAACAGAGTAGTTATTCATTCACGTTTTCTTAGAACTCCAGAATCTAGATAAAAGTTTGATTCTAAGAAAAACAGCTATAAGATTCATAACTTCTACTAGCAACCGATTTCCAATGTTGTTAAATTAAAATAAACAGAGTAGAGTAGACACAATGCATTGCAAAAGCAGAACATAGCCAAAGTTTTATTCCCTCAACGTGTCTTAGAAGCATTAAGTCCTCTACTGTTACCATAGACTGAGAAAGGGAGAATTATTACCTTCTACCAGAAGTTGATTGATCAAGTTGTTGTAATGGTTAATTCCAGCCTGATTTATTCCTCCCTTTAGATCTCCACCTAATTAATCACATTCGCGTGATTAGTATTCATGAATATAGTAGTAACTCTTACATATACTTGACAGGATCGTTCATAATCGTACGCAGAAACCCAAACCATCATGTGTTATATCATGTCAAACGTTCATTACTCAAAACTACAGAGGAGACTTGTTAACAATTACAGCCAGAACAGTAAAGGCTGTGTACGTACGAGGCAAAATATGTGATCATGAGATCGAGAATAAATAAGTATTGAAGCCAATTTGATTCAGCAATTTTATATATATGTCAAAAAAAAGAGGAGAGAATCAAGTCACCTCTGGTAATCGTCGTTTCCTTTGTTTTCTTTTTCTCTGGTTTTACGATGGTCTTTTGTTAACAGAATTTGAAGCTCCTTCGCTGGTGTGTGTTGTGTATCGATTATGATTTGTTTCTGATATTACCCATGTGATAAAAAAGGAAAATAAACTGATTTGAGCCTTTAGGTGAAGAACAAGAGATTGATCAACAAAAGCTATAAAAAAAGATGAAGGAGTCCATCGATGGATCGGAAGATATCTATCGTACAAATATCTTTTTGTTTCCTTTTTTTTTTAAAAAAAGGAAAATTATATATATATATATATATATTAATTGTTTATTGATGTTAATTTTGGGTCATTTGTAGAAATGATGTTAACAAATTGTAATAAGTATATCGGTTACTTATGTGATGTAAATTTCTATTTTAGTATCAATTTTGTTAAAGTGATCCAAACTAATAGAACTTGTATCAGTTTTATTGAATTGATGCTAAAATAGTTAATTAAAACATCAATTATTATAACTGATGTTAAATCATGTATATTTGTTTCATTTATCAATAAGTAATGTAAATTAGAATCACTTAGTTTTGTGATATAATTTAAATGATACAATCTACTTTTTTTTTTTGTAGTGTGTGATGACAGAACGGGAAAACCGGATCTTATTCTTGAATGACTAAGTGATGGTTAAGCTGGAGCACGGATTATGAAACAGTTAGTTGACTGAGGAAGACTATGATCAGGTCAGAGGCTGACTGTGATCATGAGTAAGAGACGGTAGTAACCGTAAAAGGGACCAGGATTGGTCAATCTGAATCAATGATCTTGGTAGCTTGTTCATAGTGGCATGACTGAGTCTAATGGTAATTGAGGCAGCTAAGATTAGCGCTTAGAAATCAGGAAAACTGGTTGTCTAAGGCAGATCTAAGACAGCCAAGATATATACCATATGTGCCGGTGCTACGCTTGACTAGTGCAGTGATTTGATTTGATTGCCTACAGATTCAGAGTAGAATCAGGGTTATGTTTGGTGTTCGGCTAGTCTATGTAAATGAGGTGAGATCGGAAAATGTGTTTGTTAACTGGGAGAGTTGCCAAGGCATAACTGTGAACCAAGAGCTTGCCAGATAGTCGAGTTACCTGAGTGCACATGGTAAGGCACATGGCGCACATGGTAAGGCGCTGAGCGTGCATGGGTAAGACGCAAGAATACGCACATGGGTAAGACACATGGCGCACATAGGTAAGACGTTGAGCGCACATGAGTAAGACGCATAGAGCACGCATGGGTAAGACGCAAGAATACGCACATGGGTAAGACGCATGGCGCACATGAGTAAGACGTTGAGCGCACATGTGTAAGACGCATGGATTGCGCATTGGTAAGACGCAAAGAGTGCGCACATGAATAAGACACGGATTCAAGACAATGGTAAGACGCTTGAGGCGCACATTGGAAAATAGGGCAGTGTCTAGTGAAGACCAAGGCCAAGATAGGAAGACTTGACTACGGTCGAGATACGACATAGGCATGGACTGTTATCGAGGAAGACTTGGCTACGGTCGAGATATGATATAGTCGTGGACTATGATTGAGGAAGACTCGACTACGGTCGGGATACGAGATAGTCTGGTTGATTATGGTCAATGAAGACGCGACCACGTCCGGGAAAGACTAGGGTCAAGAAACGATATAGTTTGGTGTGACTATGATTGATGATGCTTCGACCACGTCTGGCAATGACAAAGGTCTTGAAAGGATCTAGTCAATATTGACTAGGATCGGGAAAAGTGATCGTGTCGAGGAAGGACCAAGATCGCACACGAGAAGGTTCCTAAACTATGGGAGATGGTATAGCGAAGGAAACAGGTTCTCACTGCCACCGAATTCGAGGACGAATTCCATTTTAGTGGGGGAGACTTGTGGCATCCCTATCCCGGCTTGGGATAGTGGGCCTGTTTGTATCGAGGAAAAAGGGTGACTTGGTTCAGATCAAAGGGACAGATCGTGAACAAGTTAAGGAAACGACTTAGTCAAGGTCGAGAAACAAGTCCGAAGGACTTAGTCGGATCAGATGATTCAGAATCGTCAAGCTCGCAAGAATAGTTGAGCTGGATAAGCTGAAGTAACTGACTACTAGCTGGACCAGCTCACTTATAGCTGAACAAGCTGACTACTAGCTGACCGGCAGCTCAACCTAGCTCAGTCAGCTGATCGAGTACTGACCCAGCTGGGCGGACTGACCAGCTAGATACCGAGCTAAGGTGTGACTGAAGTAGTGGGAAGTCATCTGGGCAGGTGGAGCTCGGCCAAAAGTGGTTATGGCCAAATAACTGCCCATGATCCAAAAGGTGCAATCCTGGCCATTGAAAGAATCAATGGCTGAGATTGGGGTATGAAGGATGGACGGTTTTTGGACAAGAAACCCGCCCATTGGCTTTATAAGGATGGATTTTCGTGGAAAATCCATCATCTCTCATGCCTAAGGTGATTTATCCCCAAGATAGCCGAAAGAAAATGTGATATCCGGATTCCAGTCCAGTCAGCGTCGGAGTGCTCCGACCATATCCGAGAGAAGTTCGGTATTGTCCGGGAGAAAGGGGATTTATTCGAGAGAAAATAGGGATCATCCGAGGGAATCAGAGATGGTCCGGGAGAAATAGAGAATGTCTGAGAGATAATCGGGATAAAAGGGAATCGCTGAGTGAAGAACAGGATAAGGGAATTTATCCGGGAGATAATCGGAGATCATCCGGGAGACGCGGAGATGATCCGAGAGATGATCGATATAAATGAGAATCGCCGAGTGAAGAACCGGATAAGGGATTTTATCCGGGAGAGAATCAGAGATGGTCCGGGAGAAACAGGGATGTCCGTATTCCAGTCAGGTCACCGCCGGAGTAACTCGGACCATATCTGAGAGAAGTCCAGTGCCATCCGAGTGAAAAGGGATATACCCGCGAGAAGGTGAAGATCATCCGAGAAAGGCAAACTTAGCCGAGAGAATGTCAAGTTATCCGAGGGATAAAGAAGAATGGTCGGATGTCTCCCGAGGGTAGTCGGATGATAAACGGTTTCTATGCTCAGTTTATATTGCAGAGAGGTTATCAAACTCTAATGCAAGCAATGTTGTAGTACAGCAAGCAAGAGAGAGTCAATCCACTTCTAGGAGATAGAGAATGCACAGAGAATGCAAGGACTAAAGCAAATCTAAGCAAAATGAGACAGTTTATGAGAAAATCTCTAAAAACTAGATGCAGCAACTTAAACAGAGTGAAACCTATTTTAAAAATACTAGAAAGGAAGACACTACGACGAGAAACAAACAGATTAATTAAAGGAAAAAGCTTCGAATTATTAACATTCGACTAGTGGATCGACCATGAGATCGACCACTAGATCGAGCAGTAACAATCGATCTCGTCTAAAATCGTAAGAACAGTAAAGCTAATGACCAGGATGCTATCAGATAACAAGCGAATGATGAGATAAGACGTAAAGATGCTAAAAGAAAGGGCCTAGGGTTGAGATTCATGGTTAGGGGTTTCAAAGGTTCGACCTTGGCTTTAAAACTTTGAATCGACTCACTTGGTGAGGATCTCTAAGCCTTGAAAACAAAGCAAGATCTATCTGTGGCTTTCGGTATAGATCACTCTTTCATCATCTCCTCCAAACCCATGGCTTTTGGTGGAAAGAGAGGTCGAAAGGCAAGGAAAACAGATTTCAAACGAATGGCTTAACTAATCCCCCAAACTTCCATGGCTTTTGGGAAGGGGTAACTAGTCTCTAAGGTGTGATCTTCCGAGGCTCCTGAATCCTGTCAAGGTAAGGAACCTCTCGGATCATGAAGCTCTTGGCGTGAGAGTCTTCAAGCTTTAAGATCTCAACACCTTAGAAGAGATAGCCTTTGAAAACGTTTTGAAAAACCCAAGATCGAAACCTTTTTAACCCCTTAATCCTCTCAACCCCGAACCCAAACGAACTACTCGCTACACATAGAGTAAATCAAGCAAAGCATATGAAACGAGACGATAAACATGAAAGGAAAACTGGATTAAATGGAAACGATTCGAATACAAAAGCTTAAGAGAAAGACGAGTTTCAACAATGGTGTTCTTCACAAAAACGAGAGAGAAAAACATAAGGAAAAAGATAAAGATCTAAAAAGTTATGGGAAAAAGGACGTCGCCGCCTTCCCAAAACGTCGAAACAAGCCAATGGTCCCCCATTCGCTAGCAGCCAAAAACAGTTGAAAGGACAGAGATCGACGTCAAGATCGAGTGGTTCTCTCGATCATATCCGGACATCGTGTCTTCGGCTCGATCTGGGTCTTGATCTTCATCGGCGAATCGAGTGTTGCATCCGATCTCTGTATCGATCTTCGGCTGGATCGAGTGGTGTACTCGATCTGGCTCTCGCTCTGCATGGCGTCATTTACGTCCGTACCAATTGATCGATTGCTTCACTCGATCTCTGTCTCGATCATTCTCCTTGGATCGCCTGGTTGGCTCGATCTTCTGGTCGATCAACTCCTAGATCGACCGGCCATGCTCGATCTGCTCCTCGATCTCTGGTCCTTAGCATATATCTGAGCTCCCACGAACTGCTACATCAGCCTCAACACGTCCACGAACCTCCACGACTCCAAAGCAGCCAAAAACAACCTGAATGTGATGCAAAATGCAAGGAAAATGCGTATGCTGATGTAAGAATGCTCTAGGACCCTAAGTGATGCAATCTAACCTAAAACATGATACAAATGCATGAAAAGCTAACTAATGAGTATTCAAAATGTATGCAATATGCAATAACATCAACTCCCCCAAACTTACTTCTTGCTTGCCCTCAAGCAACAGAAAATAAGTAAGGAAGAGAGGTTTTAAGAAAAAAATGAGTGAGGTTTTAAATTTTTTGCAAAGGTGCCTTTCAAATGAATCAATCTCAATGTCCTAGTTAACAGTTCTAAAATGCTATGCTTATACTCACATTCGAACCATGAATCAAACTTATGCACTTTAAAGCAAAACACATTTGGCTAAGGGTTAAGGTTATGAGCATAGAATGATCTCATTTGAAAAAGGTTTATAATCAGAACAAGGGTTTCTCTCAAAAATGGATGAACTTGTGCATAATGCTAAAGGTAAAGACAATTTATGCATACATAATTAGATTCTCATCTACCCATGTAAACTATCAAATGATCCTATACCTCTCATTTAAGAAATTT